CTCCTAAGTAATAAACCAGGGAGATGGGCCTGGCCGCGGCTTTGACCTCAATCCCCTTCACGCATTGTGAGCCATACCAGCAGACCAAACGTGTTGGCACATGAAGCCTTATGGAAAAAGGCAAAGAACAGGTGATTGGGTAGACACATTATATTGACTTTACGACAAGAACCTGATGAAATAGGATGAGAAGGATGAGGAAGTGGGAGAAATATCCATTACAATTAAGTGTCGATGTTGTGGATTGCCACGGAACATTTAAGTTGTTTTGTAACAACTGAAGGGAATATCGTTCAGCTGTAGCACCATTTGGGCGCCTAGCTGCCATGAAAACGTAAGGAGGCAGGAGGGCTAGGGTACTACCGGCTTGCCCAAGCCTAAACAGGTGTAGTCAAGATGCTGAGGTTGGGTTTGAACCACAGACCTTCCGGGGACGAGATGGCTGTGGTGAAAGTGCGAATTTACTGACCGGAAGGCCCGTGGTTCGAACCCGACCTCCACCTCTCGACCTTCCCTGTCTAGGCTTGAGCAACTTGGAAGTATTCCAACCCTCGTGTTTCCTTCGGGTAGCACGGCAGCTAGGGACCGAAAGGGTGTTACAGCTGAGCATTTTTCTAATGGTTAAAATAAAACAAAAATGAGTCTACCAAGTGTAACCACGGTAGGGAAAAATAGCGACGACTGGGCTTATGGAACACGGTGTGCAGCAATCTACCTAGAGGAGAGGAAGACCCGCAAAATACGTACTTTGTTCATTTTAAATGGATTCGCGCCCCTTGATAAGAGCACCTTTGATACGGACGCGTGATTCCAATACGCTGCATTGTGAAGGGGTGTCCAGTTGTTCTCATTGAATGGATCGACCATCGCGCCGGCATCCAGAAGCATCAGGACATTATCCGCATGACCTGACATTGCCGCATGATGGATGGCAGTATTGCCATGCTGTAATTCATCTTAGTATGAGATAACACCACAACTTACTGCATCCAACGAATCTACCTGACAACCAGCGTCCAGCAACATTTTCAAGATAGAGGCCTTGCCTTGAGAAGCAATGTGGATAGGATAGCATTCGTACTGAAAGAAAGTCTGTCGGATACAGAGGATGAAAATTACCACATGAGAGCGCCAATTAGGATTTGCGCCTTCGGCAATAAGTTTGCTAGCTGTCAGCTCCCGTCCGTAGCTGCACGCGTCCCACAACCGCTCCTGTCGGGATTTTGAGCGAGTAAAAGAAGACAGCATCTGATGGCACGTTCAGAGCGTAGGAGGATAGCTCATAAAAACGATTCCTTCACGTCACGATTTGCCAGACTAATGACCTGAAACAGCAGTAAAGTAGATGTTTGAACGACTCGCCAACATTTGCATCGAATTTCCTAACTCTCTATGGAGTGTAGAAGACACGTGACACTTCACATTAGAGCACTGGCGTGGGTAAGCAGCCCCACGCAATCAGCACCCCAATAAGTATGAGACCTTGCCATGTCAAGGGGAGCAAGTGAAAGCAGAACCGTTGGGTACCCAAGGGTGAAAGAGAAGTGGGTGTGATCTACTCTTTGCAACGTGATCGAACAGGCCAGGTTGAGTAAGGCACAGATTACACCACAAGGAAACGAATGAGTAATGGTTCTGCATAAGACGGGACGCCGTACTTCTGCATTAATTAAGCGTTGCTGTCACCAAATGAAGAAAACGCTCCGCAAACGGCACTGGTCAAATGTAATACTCGTTGGTACAAGGTACCAACCTTCTTAACCATCATTAACATTAACACCAGATGAGAACACTGGCGTTTCACTGCCGTGTAGCTATCAGTTTATTTGAATCAGACATTATAATGGGAAGAAGAAAAATGGAACATGGAGGGGGAACTAGGGCGAGCCTTCAAGATATGTTAAGTGTTCGGCTATACTAAAAGGAAATCAGCCGAATAATAGTTTCGCCACTTGTGTGTATTCCGAACCATCGTTTACCTAAAAGAGTGCTGTATCCGCGCGCAAGCAGAGAAGTGATAAACCTCTGACCTGGCAGAGTGATAAGAAGTGGACTACGGAACGTCTGTACTGCCAATGTGAATAGCCTTCCAGGATAAGTCATTGTAATCCCCCTGTAGACGACTGCTGTAGGATATGGTTGTTGATCGATCTCAATAACGTTTTTGTCGCCATTCTGAAGACACGGAGAACAATACTCGGTAGACGGTGTTTCGGTATGCGTAGCACATGACCAAGTCACTGCAGTTGATGGTGCTTGATGCTTTCCGCTGCAAATCCAAATACCCGTTTTCTAATCGCCTCGTTGACGCCATCCAAAACCAGTAACGCTTCTAAGGCATCGGTGGTAAAAAAAACTGAAGACGCCGCGCATCAAATGCACGCAGAGCATTTGATACAAGAGCATACAAGAGCACAGCCCTTGCCGTGGTCTGGTGCACGCGACCGCTAAGACCCAGTGGCATGCATTTTGACACCACAAAGGACGCTACATACCAAAAGTGGCTCTGGCTTTTGATATTTTTGCACTGACTTAATCAGACACACTTCCGTCGGAGCTATTACAACTACGAGGATGTGAAAAATTTTCCACAACCTCCAGTGATTCTCTTTGAATTGTAAGGGTAATGTTCAGAGATTGTACGTTCTGAAGCGGGACTTTACACTTTGAATGCGCCAGGCACGCGCCGAAAGATGCTATGGCGGTGGTCAGTTTAATCAACACGGATTGTGCTTCGCCCCAGTCGTCACAAATGAGGGTGATGTCATCTTCATACCACAGATCAATAAGATTCTCATCAACGAAAATCTGGACACGAGTTTTGGGGGCTCGAGGAATCGTAGAAAACTGCTCGGTTGTAACACCTTCACAGTGCTCAGCTGCCAGGCCACCCGAAGTAAGCACGACGGCTGAGAAACTGCCAGGATGCTCATTATCGTCACTGACAGCAGGACATCAGTGTTCAACACCAATGATTCGCAGCCGTACAACCATGATTTATTCGAAAGCCTTATTGCGAAGGGAACAAAGATGAACTGAGAAGAGACTTTGTGCAAACTTACTACAATCATTCCCAAGGAAATAAAACTCCAGACACTCAGTCAGGCAATCTGGATAGAACCTAATAGCATTGATACCTTGCACCGTTTTCAATCAGACGCAGTGGACATCACAAGGTCCCCATCCTGGAGGCCGAAAGCACCTAAACGTTTCGCAATATCCTTTATACCCCTCTGCCAAGTCAAGTCTTCAATGGAAGTCCCTGTCGCATTACCGAAAACTCGCTTACTAATTGCCTGGCCACGGATTCGCCAACACCAACTCACACAAGCTATGGTACTGAGACAAACACCTGAAGACGTCTCGGTTCAGCTGCTCAAACAGACCAAGTCTCACAGCTATAAAACAAAACAGCTCGCATCGTAGCTTGATGCACACGTCCCTCGTGATTCATGGACACACCATTTTGACGCCATAGGTGTCTCAATTTGGTAAACACGACTCGGGCCTTACAGATTCGTGTATAGACCTCAACTGTCACACTACTATCAGAGCTTATACGTAAACCACTCCACAAATTACAGTACCCCTCCCCAGATTGTAGGTGGCGTGTTCAGTGACTGCATGTCCATGAGTGGGACCTTACACTTTGTGGGTGCAAAGTGCATACCAAAGGACGGGATGACTTTGGTCAGTTCGTCCGAAAACACCTTCTCCTTCTCTTTGAATGTAAGAACGATGTCATCTGCATATGCTAGACCGACAATGTTTTCGTCATAGTCTATTTGAACACCGGGAGGTTGGAGACCTCCCAAGATGTCGAGAGGCAGAGGCCGGGTCCCAACAACGGATCTACTGGTCAGTATGTTCCCGCTCCAAACACTGCGCATAGAACGAGTAATCAAGTACACACAGTTCGGGATCAACATCAGCTAAATCCATCTTGAACAGATGACTGGATAAGCGGAGACAAGGGCGTCTGACGTAGGCCTCACAGTACTTGGAAGTTTATGCGACGCACTTTTCGTCATTCAGAGGAAATGCCAATCCAACGACCACTACTTTGCAGCGTCTAAGTCCATTTGGAGGAAACCGGCATTTGAACCCAGGCATTTCAGGTCGTCCGCAAAAAGTAAACACATACTTCAAAGTAAGACTTGAAAGGTCATTGAAGTAGATCAGAAACAGAAGTGGTCCCAAAACGGATACCTGAGGGACTCCCATTGAGACCGGCACCGAAAAGGAATGGGTCGAGCCCACTATCACTCGGTTCCAATACACCGTGTCCCGGTGTGGCCCTGCGGCACCACAATTCTGGATTGTAGTATACGTTGTCTGTCAGTTTGATTGATTCATATGCAAGTATTGGTGATGTACAACCTTGCTTACTGGGCTTTGGCTCATGAGCTTTGTTTCTGTTTTCCATCCACAGAAATTGCCGTGAACACCTGCCTTCGGAGAATCAATGTCCCCTGGTGCGGTCATAGCGTGCATATTACATGGATGAACAGAAGATAACGCGTCTGAAATCGTGACTCTCTTCCGTGACGTTCGGCTTTTCTATTGATTCATCACAACTTACGCGCCACCGGCAACCGCCGCGAAGGTAATACTGAAACAGCATTGGTTGTTGGTTCTCGAGGTCGTATCATTAGTCGGCCCGCCTCCCGACCAATCACGTACGACTTTAAACGGCTTGATGTTCCAATGAAGTGATTTATGCGATGCAATGAATTTGGTTTGAGATTCTGCCCAAAAACCTTTGGCATTGTGTTGGTTGTTGCAGAATGTGACTGATAATCAGAAACATATACTTTCGAACTTAGGCATGTTCGGCTCTTAAAATTCTATATATTTGCACATGATTATTATTACGTTCACGTAAGTCTGTAGGGTATTCTCGTTTATTGTAACTCACGCTATATGAAACGATGTCGTGACATCATTCGCCTCCTTTGGGCAAAAACGTTCAATGTTATTTGCCAAAATTTCATATGGACGAAATAGGCAGAAGTCGGTGCACAGGTGGCCAGATAGAGTGGCAGTCAGAGTGGGCTGCATTTTCGCATTGTCACCAGCAAGCACTGAGTCCTCAAATGACGTTGCCGGTAGCGTCTCTAGGGTTAACAAATATAACCCGACCCAGGCCACTATGAAACGAGTTCTCCCGATAGGCATGCTTGGCACCAAAGTGCCTCTCCGTGCGATAATGCAATCTACGTGTCCAGGAAGCGACGGGCCCCTATGACAGATCGAAACAACGGTGTACTCTGTTCCACGAGACACCATTAGAGCCATTCGGCGGCGTGTTCCATGAGCAAAGTTTAGCAACCCTCACAAATGAAATGTTTCTTTCGTGAAAGCGAGCGGCTTCTAAACCATACTTCAAACAGAAATCGGCATAGATTAAGCGAAGAATGCACTCAGCTTTCGGGTGGATGCAAAAATGAACGTTGTGGAGCAGAAGTGAATGGTAAAACCGGTTGAAACGGGCTAAAGTATAAAATTGTCGCGCGCCTACCTAATGTGAACATATGAGCTTGAGAATATGCAACTCCCAGAACTTAATTGGTTAGGTGAGCCATCCATGTTGAATTATATACACCGTTGTCCCACGTAGCACTAATTATGCACATGGTCTCATGCGTGTTGAATCGCGTTTCCCAGACGGTGGCGAACCTCTTTTGTGCCAGACGGTCAGGAATCCTAGGTAAGTATGAACAACGCACATATATAGAGCGTCCATCCAAAATGAACACTGATATAGGTTTAGAAAAACCTAGATACCGCAGCATCTCAAAAATTTCGAAAAGCCAGGAATCGAAAGACTACAATCCATTATACGCAAGCCGTTTCGCTACGATGCGCTGAACAAACCCCACGAAAGCATTTAAAGAATACCAACATGCCCACTAGCTCGAGACCACTATCTCGTCCAAAACGTCTGGTAACGAACTACACCTTTCAAACAGGTTCACCCTAACCAGTAGTTAAAAGCATAAACGAAGCAATCTGGGTCATCTGTTGAGACTAAACAACTGAACTAACAAGGGCATCAACGTATTAATTAAAATAACAATGTACAATAAACGCAATTCGAGCAAGTCGACAGACAGACAAAAGTTGTGCACCAGAATGGAGCAGGATGTGAGAAATAATGTGCAGGGTTGTGCCCGGTTTAAGGGCATATTGTAATTATATTTTACTCATTTAGTTAGATTTCAGGGCCCCAAGAGAAATCCTGCTCG